ACGCCATTTTTGAAAGCAATATAATTCACTCGACCATTTATAACAAACTAATGGAATGCTGAAAAACTTCCACGATACAGTAATTGTAAACCTCCTCTATACTTTGCACTGCACTTTTTTTAATCCCTTTTTCCCCCTCTGTTTTGTTCACTTATTTTCATGTTAAAATGCTTCTTTCTCTCTCTGAATAAAGCTTTCTCCTCATCGAATGCAAACACAAAGGGAGGCACCACAGATTTCTAATGATGTAGCTCAGTGTTTTTCAACCTTAGCAACTTTAAGAATTCCCCAGCCAGGAGTTGAAGTCCACATATCTTAAAGTTGCTAAGGTTGAGAAACACTGAATAGCAACTAACCTGGCAACTTTTTTTTAGAAGAATGCAATGCCCACTTTTCTGTTTATATCCTAGTTTGGAATACACAAACCCGCATTCACGTTTTAGACGAGATACGAGAGCTTTCACCAACACTCTCACCTGTGGCTCAGCGTCCTAAGGCTGCATTTATATGAGGCACCTCCATTTTTATTTTCTTTAAATATAAAGATTATGTATAAGGGGCTTTCTGACAAAAATACTTCCCCTTTTGTGGGGAGGGGGGGAAAGTTAGAAGTCTCTTTCTCTCTTTTGGTAAAATCAAGTTTCTCCTTGAATTTCCATTCCTCATTCCTCCCACAACCCTCCCAAGAAGTGGGATGTCCACTTCTTGCATGACATCACGAGGAACTCTTCACGGCTAAAAGAAAAAAACAAAGATCCTTCTGGGAAAACTTAAAATGGCAACTTTCCCTCCCACCTCTGGATTCTGGGCAGGAATTTTTCAAATCAGGAGCAGCGAACTAAAAAGGAGAAATGAAACTAAAAGACACCAAATATTCTTGGGCTTTGCAAAGGCAAGATGAGTACATATGCTGCCATGAAAAACCATTTCTCTCTTATTTTTTTTTTCTCCCTCTCTCTCTTTTTAAAATTTCTTCTATAATTCTAGCCACGTGTGCTAGAAGCGGGAAGAAGTGGGAAGCAGAGGGAACAAGAAAGCAGAAGGACCTTTTTTGCAGAAATTTTCATTAGGAATGGACCTGCTTGTTTAGAGAAGGAGTGGTGGGTAAGTCTCTATCTATCTATCTATCTATCTATCTATCTATCTATCTATCTATCTATCTAATCTTGTTTTAAAACAAACAAAAAAATGAAGGACCTTTTTTGCAGAAATTTTCATTAGGAATGGACCTGCTTGTTTAGAGAAGGAGTGGTGGGTAAGTCTCTATCTATCTATCTATCTATCTATCTATCTATCTATCTATCTATCTATCTAATCTTGTTTTAAAACAAACAAAAAAATATAGCAAGGAAGTAGGTCAACCAGAAAGCGAGAGGGTGGCTGTGATGACAGCAGAGACCAAAAGACAATGGCAGTGTGAAGGTGAAACGGGGAAGGTCAGATTGCCACTGTCTCCTTTAGAATGAGAGGACAAGTGAAACCTTCTCCTTTGTTGCAGAGCAAATCCAGCAGTGATGGATTTCTGGCTGTCACCCGGTCATTAAAACAGAATTGATGTCAGAAAAGGCAAGTGGCTACCCCCAGACAGGAATGGATGATGATGAAGATGATGATGATTTTCCTTCCCATTCCAGTGCTTGCGTGGGGCTTCTGGAACAAAGCAACTTATGGTTACTTCCATAGCTGCTTCTTTGTGTCCAGCTGCCACACATTCACGTGTGTCCTCAGCCACAGAATTTACTTAGTGGACCATTATCACTCAGTCTTATCCAAATGTGTACCATCTGAAGCTCCTGGACCATTTCTGGTCCATTAAAGATTGGATGCTCCCCAGTGGACCCCCCAAATTTAATATCAAATAATGCAGATCCCCACTGCACCTCCTTCCTCTTTTGACTACAAGCTGCTTTAATAATACTTAAGATATCTCTCTGTTTCATAGGAAAGATGTTCATATGACTGATTCACATTTTCTGTGATGTTTTGTGACACCTCCAAAGCCCTGCCATAAACAACGACTGTTGCTTTTTTCTCCCCAGGATGATTCAGAAACCAGCTGCCTAGGGATAAGGAACTCTATCCAAGCAATCATGTCCCAGCTGCGCCTCTTCCTAGTGGTCCTCCTTCCATTTCTCTCCCTTCTCCCACTGACAGCCACCAGCCACTGTGAGCCACACGCCAGCGCTGACTGCAAGAAACATGCCAGCTTTGTACCTGGCCATAACTTCATTGGGGAAGGAGTTGATATCACCAGTCTGGAGAGAAAAGGGGCTTTTGTGGTGGACATCAGCAAGTGGCAGGGTCCCAATGGGACATGTACCCTGTGTAGGAATCGTCTGATGCGTGGGCAATGGCAGAAACTCCCCTTGGTTGGGGAGGATTGGCGAGAGAGGCAAACCTGCCGCCGGCAAGCAACCAACTTTGTGGATGAGTTAGACATGGATGTGGCAAATGCAGCAGCCCAAGAAATAGGGAATGATTGGAAAATGGAGTTTGCTGAGGATCTGAAGAAATACTGGAAGCAGGACCTGGGGCTTTCCAACACCCAGGTGGTTTTTACTGGATCTCGCTCTCAAATGACCCTTTTTGCACACCAGAAATCCCATCAGGACCGGTATAGCTTTCTGAGGCGTGAGATCGAATGTGAATATTACAGGTAAGGATCACTTCAGAGCATAACCAGGGGGCTGCAGTAGCCAAGGAGCTGAAGAAAAAAAGAACCTTTTCAGGAGATGCTTGGAACATGTTACACCAGTCCCAAAGTTTAACACTGAGGAAATAATTTCATATGTTGAAACGTAACCCTGAGGATCTCCCCATATTTGGTGTGGTTCTTTTTCTGAGCCATTGAAAATGTGAGGCAATCTTTACTGAAAATGCATCTTTCGGAGAAGAAAGAGTACTTGAATTTTACTGGCCCCAGTCTGATTAAAAATGTGCGCGCCGGGCAATTGCCCCAACAGGCAGAGAACTAAGTCCACATAGGAACAGAGCTAGTCCCATTAGCATTGAAACATTATTTAAATCAGGGGTCCCCAAATTCTTTAGCTCACTGACCCCTTCATGAAGTTTCAGATTGTTCATTGATCCCCAAACATTTATGATATGAAAATAATTTACTACAAATAATAATAATAATAATAGACCCCTTGGATAGTCCCATTGGCTCTTGACCACTTTGGGGAACCCTGATTTAAATCCACCCATCCAAACCCTGTTCCAAAGCTATGAAATGTTGAACTTCTCTTGGATTTTGGGGAAAGTGATGTCAGCTGCAGGGTCCGGAATTGCAGTTGACCAGTTCCTATTATGGAAGCTCCAATGGGCTATGAATACTATAACAGTGACCAGGCTATGCCAAGTCTGAGAGGGCCCAGAGGCTTCTGGCAACTATTGTCCAGCTACAAAATCTGCTTTGGGAGGGGGCAAAGTGCTTGATGGGTGGCGGTAGCATGACTGCAATAATCTGAGGACACTGGCTGTCCAAGTCCATTCATTCTTGTTTCAGGACTGGTTGAGGGAATGAATTAGTCTTTGTCATCCTGAAGAGTAATCCTTATACAGAGACAGATGAGATAGCTCTAACTTGTTGTCTCTTCTTAATCCTCCAGCCACATTTGATATCACCAGCTATAGGGTCCTCCGGGAACAACTCCATGACATCAAAGTTGGAGGCCCTGTGTTGCAGTATTTCCATTCAAAATCAGTTTGAGGGGGAGTGGGATTGAAGGCCTGTGTTACGGACTCATGCCGGTTATATTGTGAGATAACCTGAGGCACTGTTTCATCCCCAGTTCTATTTGACCTCTATATGAATCTATTGGATGAGGTCATTAGGGGCTTTGGAGCCTGTGTTATTGGCATAATCAAATGTTGAGGACACACAATTCCATTTCTTGGTTGCATCTGAGTCAGGGGTGCCTGTGCACAACCAACATTGGTCTTTGGATGCAATAGCAGGCTGGATGGTAGCCTGAAGCTGAACTTTCTCAGAATGAGGGTTTGTGGCTAAGAGTTGGATAACTGCTCTGTACTGGATGGGATTGTGCTCCCCCTGAAAAAATGGATATGTAGTTTGGAGACCTTTGTGGAATCATCCCAGGTATCAGAATTTCAAGGGGTCTCCATGGCCAAAGATCCTACCGTTTGCTGACACAGCAACCTTTCTTAGAGAGAGATAAGATAGCTCTGTAACGTTCCTTGTCCCTGTTCTCCCAACACATTTAACTGGCTCAAGTTGGGGTGGGGTTAGCTTGTTGTATGACCCCTACCTACAACATGGATTGTAGGTAATTGATAATTACCTAGATAATTGATCCAGACAACTAAACCCAAGGTGGTAAATTTTATCTCCAAACAGACTCAGTCATGGACAGGGTTAAATTCCATTTTGTCAGCTGAGTTATAGGAACACCACACAAAGTCAACTGACCCATTGTTTATACTTAGTTCTCCCCCCTCCCCCCAAAAAAAGGGGATGAAGATAAAGGGTGGTTAAAAAACAACAAGCATTTCCATTACTGAACTCACTGGCAAGGTATAGCAACACACTGAGTGGGTACTGTTGTGGCAGAAAGACCTAGCCCCTTATGACTTGCTTGCTAATACAGCTAGTAAAGACACAGAGCTCTGCCAGTTCTTTGGTGTACGGTTTTCGCAGATACCAAATACCTCCTGGAGAAAATAAGGAAAATAAGGAGGGGCTCAGTAATTCCAAAACTGGTGATTTTTGGCCCTATTGGTGTAATGGTGTGCTGCCAGGATCATTGGTTAGGACTGGGTCAGTGACTGATGGGATTAAGAGTGTTGTGGGAACAGAGCTCTCCTTAAGAATGATTCAGAAGTTACAGTTAGTGCAGAATGCCAGAGCTAGGTTTTTCAGTGAGATACTTTACCATTAAGGATGTGCAAAACTCACTGATTCAGGAATGGAATAGAATGTTCCAGAGAACTCAAGAAAGTTCTGTGTCCCCTCTGGACCATGCCATTTGAGGGGCAATTGGGTGGTTTCTGGAAATAAATCCTCTGAACTGGAAGCAGCTTGAGGAGTCCAGGACATGGCATTCCAGATTAAATAGCCTCTTTCAGGGCCAAAACACTCCAGGATATCTTGACCCATTTTTGGTTAAGAGGATATATTTTTGGAAACCACCAAACACCCGTGGAATGGTATGATCTGGTGTTAGATTTCGTATCAAACGCAGCAATAAATCTCAGGACTCCAAACACTTAAACCCATAACCAGGAACTTGGTTTGTGTAGAAACTTTACAGACATGATCTAGCTAGGTAGATAAATTCCTTAACTGCAGACAAAAAAGAAGTCATGTGTGTGCAGAAGATCTCTCTACTGCACACACAGAAGTACAGTTTAAATCTTAGGCTTTTTCCTCTAGCCTTTTCAACTCAACAAACTTTTGGCTATTTTTTTCCCACCATGAGAGTTGAAGACATTTGTTCAGAGTTTACATAACAGTACTATCTGGCAGTATAATCACTGAATCCCACCTAAACACAATCAGCCTTTATGCCCTGACTAGGCAGGAAATGTTCTTGAGAACATTCCATTCAAGTTTAACACACGTGTGTGTGTGTGTGTATGTGTGATTCTTGTACTAAAGTGTCTATTAGCAGGTTTTTTCCAACATGTTGGCTTAGAAAGTGTGTGGACTTCAACTCTCAGAACTCCTCATATTGGCTGAGGAATTCTGGGAGTTGAAGTCCAAACATCTTAAAGTTGCCAAGTTTGAGAAACACTGGCAGAAGGACTTAGGCAGCACTATACAGAATTGGCTGCTTCCGTTTAAGCCTCTCCAAACATTCTGGGGAGTAGAATGTCTTCTTTATCATACTATATCCTGTTATTCATTGAGTTATTACACAAAGGCAGATCTTCTCTGTAATGGCACCCACAATATACATCACATTCCCCACAGAGGTGTGGAACATTTTTGCCATAGATAAAAAAACTGTTTGCTTAATTTTTTCCTGGATTTTCTCTTTCTTTTTATTAGCTGCCATAATATCTATATATTTATTAAATGATTTTTTAAAAATCACTCTATTTATTTGGTGATTTATAGTTTGTTATGTATTCATTGCACTTTGAATATGAACCATCTGATAATTTTTTTAAACATTAAAATTGGTATATAAACCATATTGTGAATAATAAAAGTGACCGTGCTGGTCCAAATTTGGGTTAAAGGTTTGCAGTTTACTTTAACTTACATCCACAGGTGTAATCCCCATCAAAAAGGAAGGAATCCCCATCAAAAAGGTCAGCTAAACTGACCAAGGAGGAAAGGTAGCCATAATGGCCTTTTCTGCCATGGTGTGGAGGGAGGAAGGAATGGCCTTGAAGGACAGGAGGTAGAGCTGCTACCAAGACTATGGTCAGATAAAAGAAACCTGAGTCCAGGGCAGGAATGTAACGTGAGAAAATGTCTCAGACAAGCCCCTCCCTAGTTCTCACAAAGACAAAGGGAGGGAGGGCTGAGTTCACATTCAGCTTTGCAAATTTCTGTTACTGTAGCTTTACAATAAAAGTACTGCTGACCTACAAGGCATTGGATTCCTCGTCTGATCCACCTTGAAGGGCTGACACATGGTGTCCACCCTTTGAATCATCATCCCTCTGGAGCAGAGTTTCTCAACCTTGGCAGCTTTGAGATGTGTGGACTTCAACTCCCAGAATTCCTCAGTCAGTTGAGAAGCCCTCCTCTAGAGATTAGATTGGCCCTGTCCCTACTGGCCTTTTGTGAGGCCTTGGCAACCTGGTTCAGCCCTCAAGCCTGGGGCCCCTAGTGTGCGACAGAGCCCACTTCCTGATTGTGTTAATGGCTGCTTTTGTGATTTTTCCCAGCTGTTGTGTGTTCTATTTTTTGTATATGTATATACGCTTAACTTATTTTTAATATTGTTAGCCATCCAAAGTCATGTATTTGAGATGGGCAGCCATATAAATTGATTAAATAAATAAATAGAAAATGGGGTTTGGTATGCGCATATGACACAGAATACTGCTGACAATATTCTGCTTTTCTCATTCTTATCCTTTGCAGTCTGAGACTTCAGCAGAGTCCTCTGCTATCCTCCCACTTTGTTCAGGCCATAGATAGGTTGCCCCATAATTATGATCCAGAGGAATACCAGCATTTCATCAATATCTATGGCACCCACTATATGAACCGGGTGCATCTAGGTGGGCGAGCTCGCTTCTTAGTGGCCTTGAAAACTTGCGCCATGGCCTTAATGGGATTCACAGCTGAGAAACTCAAGGAATGCTTGGACTTGGAGGCATCCCTACGTCATAACGGGCTTTCGGGATTTTTTTCCCTTAGTTCCGAATGTGATAAGCTCTGGGTCAGGAAAACAAGAGGGAACTTCTATGACATGTATAGCAGCCAGCACGTAGAGGTGGTAGGAGGACACAAGCAGATGCTTTTCTCAGATAGCAGAAACATGCAGCTCCTCACAGAGTGGATGGAGACCACCAAAACAACCCCTGGGCTGATATCTTATTCCGTTTTATCTCTACACACCTTGTTGAACCAAGAGGATCCAAGGAGGAATTTGCTAAAGCGAGCCATTGTGAGCTACATCAACCAGAGAGCCCTAAGGAGAGACTGTCTCCAAAGTTGTCCTGAAGGGAGCTTCCACAGCTCAGACCGAAGGTGCATCTGCATGTGCAAGGCCAACACTGTCGTCAACGAGAAATGCTGCGCTACTGAGCGGGGCAGGGCCTACCTCATGTTCTATGTGGACAGTGCATCTGATCTTTGGGGTGACCATTTTTCTTCCACAGATGCCTATGTCAAATTTTTTTTTCAAAATCAGGAAAGGCGCACAAGGATCATCAATGGAAACAACAATCCTCAGTGGTTAGAAGCACTGCACTTTGGGGCTGTCACGTTGGAAGGCAGCGACTACTTTGAGGTGGAGATTTGGGACAGTGACGTCTGGCATGATGACCTTTTGCAGAAATGTTATGGAAGGCTGTATGCAGAAATGAGAGAGGAAGTCTGGCTCAAATGCCATCCCTCTTATGGATATGTTAAATTCTATTACATGTTGAAGTGTGCTCCCACTCTGACCGGATCCAGCTGCCATAACTATCTCCCCTCACATCTGCCAACCTCATATTTCAATGACACTAATCCCCATTTGGGAGCTTTGTCCTTGTCCCACAGATTTCGTGACCAGGTGCTACATGAGTAGGACGCATCCTGATAAATCAAGGTGCTATGCAGGGACCGAGTTGGAAAGACTCTGTTGTGGTGTCCCTATGAATTTTCTTCTATAGGTCAACTAGGAAACAGTTGTTTAACAGATGATTCCCACAAACATGTATAAATTCAGGTGGGCTCAATAATTTCTTCCTCCTTAACTCTTTTATTATGATACACTAGTGCTTTTCCAAGTGGTCTTTTTACACTATACAGTGGACCATGTATCAGGGCACCCAGTTGTGAACTTGTAACATGATATGAATCCCTTCTTGCATATACCATAATCAAATCCTATATGGATCATATTATTTGTATTTATAGTCAGAGAAACAGCAGCCTGCTGTGAGAGGTTAATTACACGTGTTCACATATGTTTCAGAGAAGGACTACTAGAAACCAAGCCTTGTTAGGAACAGTTAAAGGACTTAGGTATATTTAGTCTGCAAAAGAAAGTACTAAGGGGAGATAGAATAGCAATCTTCAGATATACAAAAGATGTCATATAGATGAGTGAGTACATTTGTTATGGGTTATCCCTAGCAGCAGGACCAGAATTCACTGGGAAAGGAGGTAGATTCAGGGAAGAGCTGTCAACCAGTGGAAGTCTGTCTCATGATGTGGGATGTTCTTAATTGGAAGTCTTCAGACAGAGGCTGGAGAGCAACCTGTCCAAAATTGTGGGGCAAATCTTGCACTAAGCAGGGTGTTGGACCAGGTGACTTCTGAGATAGCTTCCAACACTATGATTCTGTGCAATATTTGGAGCCTGTAAAGCTAGCATTAGCACCAGGTCCCACTGTTACTAGGATCAATTCATACTGATTGATCCCTTTTCTGCCAACATACAGTACATGGAACCCTGAAACTGGTGGTTCCTGTACGAGGATGGCTGCCATTTTGAAGGATGACTTCCTCAACCTCTCCAATTATAAGTCCTGGCTTACCTATGCACCCACAGAAAAGATCCTGGACCAGATTCTCCCTGTACTATTCAAGCTTCACCTCTAATTGATTTCAGCCACTTTCACGCAATACATACAAAATATAGAGAAATAAATCTTCATAGCTGTCCTTAAACATGGTGTATGCTCTTTTTTCCCTTCATCACTATGTTATCTTAGAAAACCATTCCTTCGTCATTCTGACCATAAAGTTGATTTGCACGAATTCATGGGTTTTCTGTAGGACTATGGACATTGCATGGATGATGAACGCTAAACGTGAAGACCATTTTTCATGGATGGATAGCATCATCTTCCTTTAGTAGCAGAGAAGGAGGTGGGCTTTCATTCCAGTAATTCAGCTGAAACCAAACTCCATCTGGCTTTGTCATCTAAAATTGTCATCTCCAACTGGCTTTGCTCCCTTCTGGAATTTCTCCTAAAATTGTAATCTCCAACCTGATGCCCTCCAAATGTGATGGGCTCCAACTCAGATAATTTCCAGCTACTAATGCAGGCTAGGAATGTGCATTGCCTTAGAATAGTTTTAATGGCCTTCTTAGTCATTATTTAACTGAAAATTGCAGAATGTCTAGGAGATGGACTACATATTGCTCTTTCCTTGGTGTTAGAGTTACTCAGATCATCTCTCTTTCGGTATTATAGGCTGTGGATCAGAAAACTGAGCCTGGGTTGATTTTAAATCCTTTATAGATCACCTAGAAACGTTAATCCCATCATAAATTTTTGTTAATGATTACTTTACTAGTAAGTTCAGTGGTGAGTGCTGATAAATACCTGGAGTCATATCAGTTCCTGTGAGAAACAAGAGGGTGGTAACAAAAATCATTGTGATTATAGGTTTTTTTTTAATCCATGGATTAAATATGGTGTAAATACTGTAGAATACTTTTTCTAATACTCTACGTCTGATTAAGAGAATTTTTTAAAAATCCATGTTACTTACAAGACACTACTTATCAAGACACTTATGTTAATTCAGATGATTCAATGATTAAGGGGGAAAAACTGTACAGTTTTGTGATATTTTAAAGAACAACTTTTTATAAGTAACATGGATTTTTAAAAATTCTCTTAATCGCATGGAGGGTATTAGAAAAACTGTTCTATTTACACTGTGTGTAATCCGTGATTTTTGTAGAAAACATCTGTAACCCTGACAATTGACTGGTAAAGAAATGCCTCACACAACATGTTACTGTAAAATGTATTTAATGAGATAGTTGAGTGATGCAAGGATTTGAAGAATGAGGGAGTCAAAACGAGAAAATGGATTTTGAAGCTTGCAAAAAGGGCAAGTGGGGAAAATACTGGGGGGAGACTAGTCTGAATTGGGTTATGAAGCTCGCAGTGCTTCACCTCTTCCCATTGTACTCAAAGTGGCTGGCCGTGAGTCATTCCCAAATCCCGAGCAAGCCGCAGAGGCATCCGCGGGAAGGAGCACGGGGCTCCTTACTGCTTCTCCTGCCTCGATCTAGGGCTTCACCGGAGACCCGCATTGCTGGGAACTCACCCACCTTCAGAAGGTGGCACCCTGCTAGGGCGGCAAATTGGCCCGTCTCTCAGACCTTCCCAGAGGCGGAAGAAGGGTGATATGGCACCCAGCACGTGGCCTCTACGGAGAGCTTCCTCCCAGCAATTAACAACCTAATGTGGTCTCTAGGTTATATGGAGCCTAATTTTTAGTTATTAGATAAGTTAGGGTGAGTATAGATTTGTTCTCGTGGCCCTCGTATCAGTTCTAAGAACGTTAGATATGGCTTCTAACTAAAATACTCAAGGTTTTCAATTGTATAATTTGCCTCTGGGAAAAAAAACAGGGACGAGAGAATGAATATTTCTAATCTGAGCGGCAACCATCATGCACCTCTTTTCATTTGCAAATCGCCCTTCCCTCTCTCTCTCTCTCTCTCTCTCTCTCTCTCTCTTCCCTCCGAGCCCGTTTAGCCAATGGATGGGCGAGGATCGGTTCCCCGCTCCTCCCCCCTCCGCGCAAACTTTCCCTCTTTTCTGTTCGAGGGCCTAGCATGCAAATTGGACGAATGCAAATGAAAGGGGCGGAGTCTAGCCGAGTCGTAGAACGTTCCCGGGAGCCTGCGAGAGGCGGACGGAAAAGTCATCCCAGCCGTGAAACCGGAAGGAGTTGGTGGGTGGCAGGTTGGTTGCAAGAAAGGGGGAGACGCGTTCGCACAACGCGCGAAGCTTAAGCGCGGTGCGCTGGTCTCGGGCCGGAGTGGGGAGATCAGCGGGGCAAAGTTGCAGAACTCCTGTTTGCAATGAAATAGACCTTGTTCAGCAATGGACGGGCCCGGGGGAGCGCAGTTGAGGTGGCTTATTGGTAGAGCGGGAATAGGGGTGCAAAGAAAAAGGCGGAGCAGGGCGAAAAATGTCCCTAAGAATCTGCCTACCTTGCCTCTTAATGTCTCCTGATTGATTGAGTAGCTTCAATAAGCCGCTTGGCCCACCGAACTTGTCCGATGGGAATGTTTACTTGTTATGCTGATTAAGATCAGGTAAGCTCTGAGCATGTGCTGAGTGTATTTCTTTCATGGAAGCAGGGTCACTCTGAGCATGTGCTGAGTGTATCTCCCGTGCAACTGTCCAACCATTGCTAGTTTTGCTGAGTATCACTTAGTAGCCATAATAAAGGGATACTAATAAAAGTGGATGACAAATCCTTTGGGGGGGAGTGAAAGGGATGGAGTAAAGTTTCAGAACACACACACACACACACACACACACCCTCTGCACATCAGTTAGGAAATCAACCACTGCATAGAAGATTCAGACAGGGAGGGCCCATTATATATTTAGCAATGGTAGTGAAGCAAAATCAGTAAAGTTGTATGGCCTCTTCAAAATCAGTGTGTCCG